AGTAGTAGTAGGTGCTTACGTAGTAGTGGTAGTAGAAGAAGTTGCTTATGTAGTAGTAGTAGTAGTAGTAGCAGTAGAAGAAGAAGGTGCTTATGTAGTAGCAGTAGTAGTAGTAGTAGTAGTAGTAGTAGTAGTAGTAGTAGTAGTAGTAGTAGTAAAGGGTGCTTATGTAGTAGTATTAGTAGGAGTAGTAGTAGTAGTAGTAGAAGTAGTAGTAGCAGTAGAACAAGAAGGTGCTTATGTAGTAGTAGGAGTATTGGTAGTAGTAGTAGTAGCAGGTGCTTATGTAGTAGTAGTAGTAGAAGGTATTTTCGTAGTAGTAGTGGTAGTTGTAGGAGCAGGTGCTTATGTAATAGTAGTAGAAGCTGCTTATGTAGTAGTAGTAGTAGTAGTAGTAGTAGTAGTAGAAGTAGTAGTAGTAGTAGTAGGAAAAGTTGCTTATGTAGTAGTAGTAGTAGTAGTAGTAGTAGTAGTATTAGAAGTAGAAGTAGTAGTAGTAGAAGGTGCTTATGTTGTAGTAGAAGTAGTAGTAGTAGTAGTAGGTACTTATGTAGTAGTGGTAGTAGAAGAAGTTGCTTATGTAGTAGTAGTAGTAGTAGCAGTAGAAGAAGGTGCTTATGTAGTAGTAATAGTAGTAGAAGTAAAGGGTGCTTATGTAGTAGTAGTAGTAGTAGTAGTGGTAGTGGTAGTGGTGGTGGTAGTAGTAGTAGTAGTAGTAGTAGTAGTAGTGGTAGTGGTAGTGGTTGTGGTAGTAGTAGTAGTAGTAGTAGTAGTAGTAGTAGTAGAAGGTGCTTATGTAGTTGTAGTAATAGTAGAAGGTGCTTATGAAGTAGTGGTAGTAGTAGTAGTAGTAGTAGTAGTAGTAGTAGTGGTGGTAGTGGTAGTGGTTGTGGTAGTAGTAGTAGTAGTAGTAGTAGTAGTAGTAGTAGTAGTAGTAGTGGTAGTGGTAGTGGTTGTGGTAGTAGTAGTAGTAGTAGTAGTAGTAGTAGTAGAAGGTGCTTATGTTGTAGTAGTAGTAGTGTTAGAAGAAGTTGCTTATGTAGTAGTAGTAGTAGTAGTAGTAGCAGAAGAAGGTGCTTATGTAGTAGTAGGAGTAGTGGTAGTGGTAGTACTACTGGCAGGTGCTCATGTAGTAGTAGTAGTAGTAGTAGTAGTAGTAGTAGTAGGAGGTACTTTCGTAGTAGTAGTGGTAGTTGTAGGAGCAGGTGCTTATGTAATAGTAGTAGTGCTGATAGTTGTAGTAGTGTGGCAGGTATGAATCACCAAGTATATAGGTTCTTGTCATTTCAGGTTGTAAGAAATGTGATTGTTTATAGCTTTATCTTTTATAGTATCATCTGTGAGCGTCAGCCTATAGTTATTTTGAGATCTTTGTCACGCCTATTACGGGTGTAATGGGTGACAGGTTGTGTTGTTGTGTCAGTGCCTGTGTTGTGTTCTTTGTCTTGCGCGGCCCCTTGTGTTGATTGGCTTGTTTTAAAATGCTATAAGCTACTTGCACGTCAGCCATTGCTCTTCGCAACAATCAGAGCATGTCAACGATCACATCTCAGAGCACATATAGGAATAAACAAGAAATCTAAAGGTAAGTATAATGTTTTTAGTGTTGTATATATATTAAGTACTGAGTAGTAATGGTGTTGACGTAAATTAATTATTCTAGTGCATCAGGTTTGCTAGAATGTATCATTGTGTAGTTCTTTTGTGCAGTGACGTTTATGCATAAGTTTAATACTGTTCAGCATTATTATTCATAACGCATTGTGCTTTAAAGCGCTAGTTACGGTGTATATATGGTTGAATGAAAGAATGGACGAATGATAGAGGTATGACCTGACATTTCATAACATTATCGTCATGAAGTTCATTATTAATGTATATAATACCACAGTCATCTATATGTGTATATATGTGCGCATTTAGAATATTCTGAGTGTGGTTTGTTTAGTTTTGTAGCAGCGCTATATTGCTCCCGAGGACGTGAAATAATTATTTTTTTTTTGGGGGGGGGGGTCTTAGCATATAGTTCTCTATCTTTAGTATCCATTGTGTTTGACGTTCATTGCAACGTGTGCGTGAGTGTGAAGTATGTGGCTTGTGTTTGTATTATCAAGGAGTTATCGTTCTTGGGTGGTTGCCTCGATCAAAATGTGTTTAAGAAACGTCATTATTTCTGTACAGTATCATTTATTGCGTATGTTTTCTAAGGAATGATATTAGCCTTACTCCTTTTGTAATTGAAATGGTAGCCTGCGTCTGGTCTTCCTGTACACAAACACAATCTCGGTTGTAGTAGTAGTAGTAGTAGTAGTAGTAGTAGTAGTAGTAGTAGTAGTAGTAGTAGTCGTAGTCGTAGTCGTAGTAGTTGGCTCGGTGTCAGACTCGGTGACTAGGTTGTTGCATGTTATATTTTCCCAATTACGTAGATCGATGATCATGAGGTAAGTCACCGGGTTGTCTGGTCCAGACTCGATTATTCATGGCTGGAGTATTGCTGAGTGCTGCGTTATACATCAAGGAAACAATCAGCCACTGGTTCAACTGTTCCGATTACTCACAGTCGAGAATGAAAGTGGGAAACGTCTTTGAAAATGTACTGCACACAGAAACTATCAAATATTTTCACAAAGGGAACATCATACCACCTTTTGCTAAATGCAACCCTTTCACAAGTTGGAATATATGTACGACCCATGTAATCACTTTTCTTGAACAAATTATCAATCTTTACAAGAAGATGGTGGTGTGTTTCTGTTTGATTGAAAATGGTTTTGTGGCGTATTTAGCAATATTCCCGCCATATCACGGCTGGGGACACCAGAAATGGTCTTCACAGATTGTACCCATGTGGGGAAACGAACACGGGCCTTTGGCGTGACGATCGAACGCTTTAATCGCTAGGCTACCCCACAGCCCTGCTTCTATAGAAAGCCATAACACATTATACAATTAAATACATTCACTAATATGACATGCCAGCCAGTTGGGAAAATCATAAAAAGCATAGCTACTCTGACAGCACTGACTCATTATTGTAGCAACCGCGCGTGGATTATGGACGTTGAAACATGGGGGAATCTATAAAAAAAATCAAGATCAACTGAAACATTGTGTGGGCAATGGTTTTACATGTTGATTTCCATAGTCTGGGAATGGTTGTCACTCGTATAGTGCACGTCAGACATGTCCAGCTGGAGTTGCATAACACTGTCCGGTGGGGCTTGGGGCTTGGTGACGTCACACGTGGGGTCCCATTGTTTCAAGACGCTTCTGACTTGACGATGTGCTGGAGCTTCAGGTGACTAAATCAGTGCACACTTTCAGCTGCTTGTTACTGAACACAGTAGTACACCCCTGGCACGTGCTTGCAGTTGCAGTCAGATTTCGAAATCTTTAGTTTCGTTTTTATCTCGTCATATTAAACCGAAAATGACAAATGAAACACTCGTCGAATTAGAAGATCGTCCACTTTCGCCAAGGTACATTTATATATGAAGTCCATGCAAATTTTGATTATTTTAAAATAGCAATATTTTATACTGAGGTCGGGCAAAGCGCGCAATGTTTCATTTTCGTACTTCGACTGGCATTACAACACAGAATTTGTATGTTATAATCTAAAAAAAATGTTCATACCAAACACTTGAAATTAGGATTGGTAAATATTTTTAAGTTAATCATTGTAATCTCCAAATTGTATAACATGACACGTTAGATTAACCCTGATATTCTCATTACCGCAACTGACATGATGACCTCGAAAATTTAAATTTTATTCTGTCTAACGTTTGGATAATAACTTTATTGAAATGGTTGATAATTTACCATTGCGTTGTTATTTTATTTGCCGATAAAACAATACGAATTTATAATCAGTTAGAATTAAGATATCGGAGATATGATTATTAAAATCAATTTTCACAAGTTTAACGATTTAGACAGGTTACTAATATGAAACGCATCTAGCCTTCCATAACGTAATTCAGGTAAGTTTGTTTTTTTAAACATTCTATGTTCGCTTTTGTCTTAACAAAAGGTGTTAATGTGCAAAATATTGGTTCAAATGTCCCTTGTTTAACTAGGCATGCACCGACCGTTTGAAATCACCAGAGACCATATAATAAATTATTATATGGTCTCTGAAATCACCCACCCTCTTTACAGCGCCATATGCTAAAATCAATCCAGCAGGCAGGGCTAAGAAGTGTGAAAACATATGCCCTGTCCACAAGTGTCATAGGTTCACACATTTAATTTAATCGCAAGTATGATGGGTTCATACTTTGATGTTCATGACAACAAAGTGTTTATTTTTATTATTGAAAATATTTGTTTGTTGTTTAGAATTAACGCTTCACTCAGCAATATCTCATCTATATGACGGCGGTCTGTAAATAATCGAGTCTGGACCAGATCATTAGCTTCGATCTTTGCAATTGGGATCCCATGACATGCATCAACCAAGTCAGCGAGCCTGACCACCCGATCCTTCCGGCAAACACATGGGTTGCGGAAGACCTATTCTCTACCCTGATCATCACGGGTCAAAGTATTGAAAATGCAAAAAAAACTTTTTAATGGTAGATCTAGTCGCAAAGATTATTCTTTTGACATCGGTTTCATTCCAGTCAAAGGCAGTTAAACGCGTACGTGCGATCGTGCGGTCAGTTGTGTTGAACACCGCGCTCTCCTGAACTCGCCTCAGGCTACAGGTTAAGGCAGCAACCATTTGTTTTGGGAGGGGTGTGGGGATATTTTCTAAATTATAATCTAGCCCCTGTTTTACTAGAACAAAATGTGCCCTTATCTTGCAGACGGTATTGTTGAAAGGGCTGGGTGTCAAATTGTATGTTAATGTCATTGTGTGTGTTGGAAAAGGTAATTTAGCTCCTAAACATTAAAAAATGCATATCTCGAACCAAAATCAAGATTCCACCCCCCCCCCCCCCCCCCCCCCCCCCCCTTGATATGAGATGGTTGCTTCCCTAATGGCGGGTACGTTAGAACATATCCATGCACACCTGCATCGTCGTCGTTTATCGCTCTGGTCAATCGCAAATTCGTATTCTATCATTTTCCAGCAGCAATTATGTTCTCCATCTTTCAGTCACTTGGTGTGACCCGCAGGTCGGATCCCAGGGACCCAGGTACCAGAGGCATCCCAGATACCCCCAGCACCCAAGGGACCACAGACAGGGCCCAGACTCCCTCATCGTCATCGGGGATATCGTGCACGTCGTCAACATCTTTTGCCACCCCGATGACGACCACACCAGCAGCAACTAGACGGACAGCAGTGGCACGTCATCGATCGGGGGGCGACGCTTATGAATGTGAGTAAACACAGTAGTTTGTATTTAACATTTCTGCTTCAACCCATTCAACACTTTCTACTATAGATTCTAGCTCTATAGATCTACATGCCAACTAGTTCTATACATGCCGGAAGGGGCGGTCGAGTAGCCGAGTGTTTAAAGCATTCGCTCGTCACGCCGAAGACCCGGGTTCGATTCCCGACATGGGTACAATGTGTGAAGCCCATTTATGGTGTCGCCGCCGTGATATTTATGAAATATAGCTAAATACTTTCGCCCGTATCCCCGACCACGATTTATATACGTAGCAAGTTCATACCAATTTTAGATAAACGGTTTGGATTTTTAAAACTATTTTACCATGTTTTGTGGAAACCCAGTCTTGCAACAACTTTTACTCTTCCAAATTCTGTCGATTCGTTCTTGCACAACAAGCTGTAGTAGTCGCCTACCGTCAACTCCATGAATTGACCACATATTCATTTTTGAAAAAACCCGATCACACTTCTTTATCTCAAATATGAAACTTTATTAAACAAATATGTTTGAACCACATCGTCTGTTTGATGAGTACATTGCTTTACAGAAAGAAAACATGTTGGTTTGGAATACGTCTTCTTCGCACACCAAAAAACCAGTTCATGCATTTCAAATCCAAATTAACACTCAGCAAACGTGCAAGAAGACAGAAACAGTTAATTAAACATCATAAATGATGTACCATGTCAATATTGTCAACAACATTATGAAAGTGTCAAGATAAAAGACTGTGAACTGCTCCTTTGGTTTTCTGTAGCATCAAACAATCTGGATTTTAGTTGGTACCATGTTATCATTATCATAGATCTTTAACCTGTATTATCAGTGTCGGAGATAGTTAAGAAATAAAAATATTGTTTTGAAACTGAAGACACCACAAAATAAAACTTGTAGCAAATACTGAAATCTCATCAGTTAAAATAACGAATTGGAGTTTGTATACATGGTTAATAAAACAGAACAAACAAACTTTAACATAGGTTAGTATGTCAACATCAAAAGAAGAGGACTTTTAATCTGAAAGGGATGTCAGATAATAAACAAAATGAGGTCATCATTTGTTTCAATCATTTAAGCAACTTCATGCAATTTTTAGAAAATATAATAGACATTGACTTCCCTTTTCTTTTGCGGGGGAAGTCTTAATGGCATTTCTATTAAACCTAGTTTTCAAGACTCGTGGGCATAACAATAAAAATAAATGATCCGCAAAAACGCTCCGTCTTGATGGCGGGTTAGAATTATTGTTCCCCAGAAACCTAGCTGTGATGGTCGTAAGAGGGGACTTAATTGGTTTGGTCTTCAGGCTCTGTGATTTGGTTGACTGCGTGTCAGTGTACTCCGACAGCATGGAATGTTGCTCATGATATCGATCACAGGACTGTCTTGTCCAGATCTGATTATTTACAAACTGCTGTAATACTGCTGGAATATTGCTGAGTTCGGAAATAAACAACCAACAAATCCACAAAAACATCAAGAGTGGGGATCTGCTCACGATAAGTCCACAGCCACAAAACTAGATAATTTTTTTAAATTTATGACCATAAGCCTGATTTTTGTAAACAGGAATATGCCTTGCTACAATGTAATATTTGTGTCATGCAAATTTGTGTGTTTTTATCAACAGCCTGAAGCATAATTTTGATTTCAAGACTTTTGGGGGACAATTATTACATTGTTTCTGTTGAGATTCAGTAGAAGTTTATTGCATTTGGACAATGACTAGTTGTCTGGAATGTAGTACTATTTATAATGTAAGCAGTGATGAGGAAGTTCTTATATTAAGATGCTCGAATTATCGGTAAACTTCCAGAAAAGCAGGGATGGCTGTCAAGCATTATAGAAACGTGGAATTATTTGTGATGTTCTAGTGACACTGGACTGTTCAAGCCTGGTGTGGAAAGTGCTGGGAGCTGGTTAGACTGTATAAGTGGAGGGGGCGTATCACTCCCGCATCTCACGTTTCATCGGACGTAACATCAAAACCAGCTTTGAGTGAAGATCACTGATCAGCCCGAATTCCCAGCCTTGGCCTATCTCGGAAGCTTGACCACTGTTGCGGAAAGGTGAATATTACCGCTGAGCTTTTTGCTATCACCGCTGCCATCATATTTTGTATTTTATACCATTCTATTGTGTACTGACATTGTCATTGCTGTGCAGTAATTTGTATTGATTTGTAAACCTAGTTAATTGTGTAATGCAAATTGTTGACTTTCTACCTATTGTTGGTTTCACACTAAATTCTTTGATGTACAGATTTCTGGGTTAACGTATTGTTTCATTTTGGGTATCAACTTGTAACCTGATATAATAATAAAGTATAATTATTCTTTTGTGAAATATCAGGATAATCACCACACAAGAAAACTACGAATCAAATCTTCATTCAGACGCATGTATGCAAGCACGCATGGGCGCATGCATGCACGCACGCACACACACTTGTCAACTAGGCGACTATGCTTATCATAAGAGGTGACAAACGGGTGGTCAGGCTCACTGACTTGGTTGATGCATGTCATCGTATCCCCTTTTGGTGGATCGATGCTTGGTATATCTTTCACTAGATTGTCTGGTCCAGACTCGATTATAATCATAGAGCTGTAATGTTGCTGAGTGTGACATTAAACAACAAACGAACAAACAAGCAGACAAACACTCACATATATCAATTATTTCTTTATTATAAAGGTTATTCTATTCTATTTTGTCCAATGGATATCTTTTCTCTCAGATGCAGGCTGTCAATAACAGCAACAGCAGCAGCACCTACAATGGCAGCAGAACACCAGAGACTCGCTCAGAGGCAGCTACAACAGCAGCAGCTACAGCCTTACCAGGATCTGCTACAAATTTTAGACAAAGCGCAAAGGACTTCGGTGAGATTTTTTATATTAATCGTTTGTAATTTATTGAGATTTCATGTTAATACAGACTTCCGTCCTCAACAATTGTAGAAGTACTGGTTTGTCCAGTACTGACTTGCATTTAGCCTTGATGCAACTACTATAGTCACTCCTAATGCGCTGTCATCAGTTCATGAAATAATCGGACAATAGTACGTTAGGCTGCTCCATTGTCACATACGAGGACGTAGGTGGCCCTGTCGTCCAAGGCCCCGCAATTCGCTGTGTAGAGTGTCTTTGGCACGCCAGAAACCTATAAACGAGTGTTCGAATCCCGGTTCTCAATGATTATGTTTCTGGCGAAACCTCATTATCGGTGGTTTGAGAAGGGAGCTAACTCTGCTTGCCTAATCGAAGGTTTGAGGTGGGCCCACATTCGAAACTAAACGTACTTGTTGTAGAGAATATGTACTACGTCAAAAATCTAAATCACAAACAACTATTTTGTCTATTTAAAATGAGTATTGTGACTTTTAATATACAAATGTGTAGAAACTACACCAGAACTCACTTGTACAAACATCGCAAAACTAGGTCATGGGGTCATTAATATTCATGAGTTATCCCTTTTATGGAACAAGTTTTGCCATGTTTCTAGGTTTCTCAATGCAATTCTTGTGGGTTTCACCCAACGAAACCTGCATCACTTCAGGCTTTCCTCCCACACTAAGCTGACATGCCGTGATATAAGTGGAATACTGTTCAAAGCTGCGTTAACACCAACTCACACACTCATTCTCAAATACAATCTTGTCAGTTGACCTCATTGGATATGCTAGAGAAAAATGTCTTTGGCCTGTTGAAACAAGATATAAAGTTTAATTAACTGTTGCTGTTGAAATATCGAGTAACTACCGATCTACCTACCTGTGGTTTGATGTATTTCAGTCACATGCAGCCCTGTCGACAATTTTACAGGACAAAATCCTTCGTCCCAGAATACATACAAACGCATGATCATGCATGACCATTTTATGTCAGATTTACAATTGGGTAAAGAAATACAGTAAACTATGTTATAATGAACACGCTTATAACAAACTGATGGATATAACAAAGTGCTTTTTGTTCTCGTCCATTGGCTGTGTATATGCTGTATCAATGCTTTTAAACAAACTGCGGTTATAACAAACTAATCTTTGTGGTCCCTTTGAGTTCATTATAACCGTAGTTTACTGTACAGACTCTTCTTGTAATATCAGTGCTCTTACTCTGAATGACAGTAAATATCATTCAATTAATACTTTGACCTCTAAAATATTTTGTTGAACTTGTTCCTCACAGAAGATGTGCAACAGCAAAATAGCTTTAAAGCTTGCATGACATAGCACATCTTTCATTGTAAATGAGGACCACCTCCGTGGTCTAGTGGTAGAGCATCTGCGAGATGAGCAGAAGGTCTGGTTCTCCATCCCTTGCTGCGACATACCAAAAGATGTTAAAAGATGGTATTTGTTGTTTCCTTGGCTGGCGTTCGGCATTAAGGGGATCAGAGCTCCAGATAAGCTGCGTATCTGCATAAAATATGCATCAGAAATGCAGGAATATGCAGTAAAATAAAATCCGAGCGAATACGCAACGAACATTACAGATACGCTACAAAAATAAAACTTGTTGGTATCACCAAAATATTTTGAAGTAACCCTGCGTATTCGATTAACAAATCAGCAACTTATTTTGAAATTATAAACGGGCATTCCGTCAACCTTGCCAAACTCCACAATGACAGTTACATCATGATCATTTGTAATCACACTTTCTTGTGGAAGTATCATGGTATTTTTGAGTCCTATAAAGCTCTCGAACCCACACGAAACCAGATTGCAGGGACTAGATGAATAGTGTTTTTAAATATTTAACTTTAATACCCACATGTGTAAAAACTAGTGGGTAACAGAAATTTGAATACCAAAATAGAATTACTGATACACAATGATTTTAAAATGCATGGGTAAAATACCCACAACACCAAAAGCTTATCAGGAGCTCTGAGGGGATGAAACAAGGTCGGCTCAGTCAGTGTACTGTCTTGAGTGGTGTTAAACTGGGGCATGGTTTCTCAGTGAACTAGCACTGTAAAATCAGCATCAGTCCAGACTAGTACAAGCAGCCACACACACACACACACGTGCATGCACGTCGCTATATAAATGCAATAATCTTGAATGCTACGTTAAACCCCATTTCACCTCACCTCACTCATTATAAATGATATTTCCATATCTACCCGTTACAACAGCACGTTTAAGATTGCAACATCTAAATCTAGACTAGGATGTTGTACTGATATACTCGGACATATTTGGCCCAACTCGCTCACTCTCCACAAAAGGAACAACATGGATATATTGTTAATATAGGCAGGATAGTAAATTTGCTGTTCACTAACTTCTGGCAGCTGTTTCGAATCAATAATATGGCGGTGGACACTGGAATATAGGCTCGAATTCACTCATTGTACCCATGTGGGGAATCAAACCCGGGTCTTTGTGTGACAAACCAACGTTTTAGCCACTTATACCCCCATTCCACTAGGCGGCGCTCCGTGCGAGCGCCATAGAGCGCCATATAGAGCGTCAAGATCTCCAAAAGCGCTAACGAATCGCTAACAGATTGCTAACTGATCTCCATGATCGCCAAGGTCGCCGCCGGTTGACTCCCCTGCACAAAGATCCGTGGCGCTCCGCCCAGAGCGCCATCAGATCGCCAATTGAATGCCTAGATCGCCATCTGAGCGCTACTTGATCGCCAAGGTCGCAATCGGAGCGCTATCGGATCACCATAGAGCGCTGCCGATCGCCACAAAAGCTGGCCTACCGATCTTCGGCGCTTCATGGCGCTCCTCGGAGATGCATTTGCGCTCCGATTGCGCTCCAATGGCGCTCTGATTGTGCTTCACTGTTTGGTTCACGATTTGGAGGGCCACCCTGGGGCGCTCTGTGGCGCTCCAATGTCTCACCCAAAAAGCCTTCCTTCTCCTTCTTCTTCAAGGCTGCTGGGCCAGAATAGCAATCTGCTGGTTCACGATGTCATGGTTCACGAGATTGTAAATCACTTGTAATAAGGCAGCATCTCTATCTGATCGAAATTGGATCACAAGTACCCCTATACCGCCTCATTATATGGCGATCTATGGCGCTCCTTCAGATTGCGTAGATCACCGTGGATCTCCGCCTAGTGGAATGGGGGTATTACTCTCTCATATATGATCTCAGTGACCCACGGCAAAATATTTAACCCTGTACCTTATTCTAGTTGTTGAGTAAAATACGAACCAGTCACCATGTGTGAATGTGCCCGCATTGATCATTCTAACATCCTATCGACCATTGTGTGGTTGTCAGTCAAATATTAGCTGTAATATGGCTAACTGCGGCATTCTGCAGCATTCACTCCCTCACAGCATACACGCAATGGTAACTCTGCCACCTTCAGACGTCCCAGATACCTTTGAGCTTGTGTTCGAATTCTGGTACGTCCCGATCATCTTTCTAGATTTATCAGCGCCATACCCTTTGCTCACCAAAGTGGTAAAGTCTGAGACCTGCATCACAGCTGGCTTTCCTCCAGCATCAAGCTGTTCTATGTCCACAAAGAAAATGCCTTGACATATTTTATCATGAATTAATTTAAATACTGTTTGACACTGAAGCAAACTCACTCACTCCACATAGTTTACAGTGTTCCAGAAGTTCTCTGGTCACAAGGGGCATGTGTGGCCCAGTCGTCTAAGGCGCCGTGATTCGCTGTGCAGAGTTGCGTCCCTTAGGTTCGAATCCCGGTTCGCCCCGATTATGTTTCTAGGTTTGTCAGCACCATGCCAGTGCTCGTGGGTGTCATCGAAGTGGTAAAGGTCTGAGACCTGCATCACTTCAGGCTCCCACATTAAGCTGACACGCCATGATATAACTGGAATACTGTTAAATGCAGCGTTAAACCCAACTCACTCACTCTCTGGTCACAAGCAAAATACATGGAAACGGTCTAACATGGATTTTCCTCGAAAGAAAAGGTTCGGTTTGATATGAGATTTGTGTTTGAAGAGTATATTTCTCAATATAGACATTTTCAAACTACCGGTATTAACCTGTTGATGATATATACTGCTGGGAACAGTGAATCTGTGGATTTTGCAAGATTTGAAAGCCTAACAAATAGTAAACTATAAGCACGAGTGTAATACGGTAATTCATTGAAGAGCTTTTTTATTTAAAATGTGCTGAAATATGCCCTTAATTATCAAGCAGTCGTTTGTATTTTTGCTTTAAGTTATGACATTTTTAAGATTTACAGACAAGATTAATATGTTTCCGAAGTTGTTGTTGGTAGATTATTGAAGTAGATAAGTGTATATGTTGGTCAAGGAATAGATGTTTCCTCCCTGGTTCTACGTGTGTTCATGAATATCTTCTTACCACTTCAGGTGTCATAACGAGGGACCAGGTCGCATTCATCTGAAAAAGCAGCAATATGTCACCAGCCTCACTCACCAGCCTCAGTTGCCATCCATCCTCAGTTTCAACTAGCCTCAGCCTCAGCCTCAGCCTCCAGCTTCCATTGGTCTCACCATCAGTAGTCAAGTAGTGAAACTGAAATTCCTCCTTCACCGTCAGCGTCCACATCAACCTGGTACCTGTCCAGATGCAGTAAATAAAACAAATCATTTATATTATAAGAATTATTTGTTTAGGGCAAACATGTTCCCCGTCATATGGAATCAAGATTTCATTTCTGCTCTATATCTCACTTTAACAGCTGTCATACTGGTGCATGCATTCCCGAAACTCGTTTCGTCGACTATCAACAACTTCAAAAAGGGCCTTACACATGTGCATTGATCGTTGTGTTTGTTTATAAGTCATTGAAATTAACAAAATATTGTTTCTTCCTCAGGTGTGGCTACCTTCTCCAACACCTGCCAATTACA